GCATGGTGGTCAGAGAGTGCTTGTGGGGGGCAGTGGGAGAGGGAAAAGAGAGAGATCCATGGGCCGACTCATTCACTGGGGTCTTTATCCAAACAGATTTCTGGTGGGGAATTTATTTGGTGGGTTTAATGCAAGCAGGCATGGGTTCTAGGAGGTCCCGCTGTGGCTGAGAGGTGGTCACTGCAATGTTTCTGCACAATCTGTGCAGGATGCCAGGTGGAGGGGGGTCATCTTCAGGGCTAATTAAGTCGGGCATGTCCAGCTGTCTCACAGGCGAGTGGTCACCATGGGAAAGTTGAATAAAGCAGATATCTGGATCCATCACACTGAGGAACTGGGAGGAGGTGAGCTAGAAATGGTGTCCAGAGTGACTTAACCCTGCTTCCCGTATGAGACATGGGAGACAGATTCAAAATGCGTGTGGATGCAACACGAATTATAGGAATTCACTACAGCAGTACATTGATAAATTAATTTTGGGAGAATCAACTTCTTTAAAATACTGAGTGTTCTTTGGGGCAACTTATCTTGTATCTTTATTTATTTATTTTTTTTTTGAGAGTCTCACTCTGTCGCCCAGGCTGGAGTGCAATGGTGTGATCCCGGCTCACTGCAACCTCTGCCTCTGAGGTTCAAACAATTCTCTTGCCTCAAGGCTGCAGTGAAATGTGATTTTGCCACTGGGCAAACAGAGTGAGACCCTGTCTGAAAAAAAAAAAAGAGGATCTCGCTCTGTTGCCCAGGCTGGAGTGTAGTAACGTGAGATTGCCCTGCCTCAGCCTCCTGAGTAGTTGGGACTACAAGTATGTGCCAGCATGACCAGCTAAATTGTTTTTTTACAGATGGGGTCTTGCTGTGTTGTCCAGGCTGGTCTCCAACTCCTGGTCTTAAGCACTTCTCCTGCCTAGTGCTGGGATTACAGGTGTGAGCCACCACAGTTGGCCCCAGCATTTCTTTTGGGGGACACCGTTCAACCCACTACACCGTGGACATTTTAAATTTGTCCTGGATCTTACAAAAAATGGTTCTTATGTTTCACTATTAAGGAAAACATTCCTGTAGGATCCTGGAAATTGCCACTTCTCAAATTAAGGAAGGTTTATCCTGTTCTCTGTTTACTAAGCATTTTTTTTTGTGCTTATCTTCGTTTTAAATGAAGAATGAGTGTCAAATTGACATATCTCGTAATTGTAATGTGAAGAGGACAAAAACAAGCTGCGGAAGGATATAGACCATGTGATGACATTTTAATAAAGCTCCCAGATGTGCAAAACAGCCCAATATATTGGCCATGGGAAGGTGTGTAATTAACGCATTTTTAAATAGATAAACACCACGTTTGGGAGGGCAGCTGCCTTGGGGAGGGGATAGGAGCAGGATTGGGTACAAGGGACCTCCACTGTATTTGCTATGATTTGTTATGATGTTTTACTTTTAAGAAGATCTGAAATATGTGAAGATGTCAAAACTTGAAAAAGCTGAGCGAAAGGAATAAGCGTTTTCACTTTTGCCTGCTTACCTCTTTGCATACTTTATAATAATAAAAAAAAGCAAAGCCAAAATTCACAGCAACAACCAATGTGCCACATGCCCATTGCAGTGGGCTGGCTGCCCTGGTTACAGCCACCCTCTTATCTCTGCAGAGGATGGAAACCAGAGTGGTCATGGCCTTGGAGCTGAATCCTGTGACTTTCACCTTCTTCCCACATTTGTCCAAACCTCTTGTCCCTGCCATTCAGGTCCTTGTATGATGTGACCCCAGCTGACACTCTTGCCCCAGATGATTGCCCCTGAATTAGTCTCAGCTTCTCCAACAAGTCCTGTTCCCTTACTTTCTCAATCTTTGCATGTGCTGATACCATGTTGGGACCATTCTTTAATGTATCCACCTCCTCTGGAATAATTCTGACTCCTTCCCCAGGTATCACCTCCTCCAGGAAGCCCTCCAGGCTCAGCCAGTGTCTCCAGTGGTCCTCACAGTCTCCTGTACTTCCCAGACTCATCATATTGTCTTCAGATTCCCTGGTTACATGTTCTCCACCCACCTGAGGAACAGTTCTCCCTTCCCAGTCCTGGGCCAGGGATAGAGGGTAGAGATCTGCTGCCTCCTTCTAGGACCTCTCTTCCCCTCTCACTTACCCTGCATTGAGGTCTGGGCATGGGACATTGATGGGCAGCCTTCTGGCTTCCTCACTGAGCTCCGCCTTGGCTTGCCAAGGCAGCTTCAGCCACAGGTGTAACCAGCACAGCCCCTTTCCCACCCCCTTGCCTTCATCTTGGCTGTGTCCTGTTCCTGGTGCACCCTTCCTTTTTGTGTCCACAGCACACATGTCTTTGAAGCCATACATCCCATGCTCTCTCTTCCAGAAAACCTCCTCCAATTTACCAAATGAACTAATTCTAGTTCCTCCGTCAGGGTCAATGAATTACTTCCGTGTAAATCCTTTCCCCAAAACACATTCTGATGGTTGCCTTGGACAGAGATTGTGCAATCCTGTGGGCCTTCACTTCCACTCCCTGAGCCAGGAAGCCACCTACTCTCCACTGAGTGACAGCCGATTGTGATGCATTTCTGGAACGTTGTGTGAGGATTTACTTCTACACATGCCCCCACTCCTACCCCCCAAAAAACATTGCTCTGGAAGAGTCTATTGCACATTGCTGGGTGTCTGACCCTATTCTCTGCCGCAACAAAGCCAGGAGATGCTGTCATGACGTCTGACACCCTGGTCTGAGTTTTGTGTACAAGGCTTGTCCTTTCGACACAAGGCTTGTGTTTTCTTCCTCACCTTCCTTTCCCTTCCATCTTCCTTTTACAAAATCCTCTTGTCTTTTTATTTCATTTTATTGTGAATGCCTCTCATTCCTGGAAGAAGAGGCGGGAAATAGACATCAAATAAAATTTATTTATTTATTTTTGAGACAGGGTCTCACTCTGTTGCCTAGGCTGGAGTGCAGTGGGTGCAATCACAGCTCACTGCAGCCTTGAACTACTGGGCTCAAGCGATCCTCCAGCCTCAGCCTCCTGAGTAGCTGGGACTACCGGTACACACCACCATGCCCAGCTAATTAAAAAAATATATTTTGTAAAGATGGGGTCTTGCTATGTTGCCCAGGCTAGTCTGGAGATCCTCCTGCCTTGGCTCCCCAAGGTGTGGAAATTGCAGATGTGAGCAACTGCGCCTGGCCTCAAATAAAATTTTTAAATGAAAAAATGGATAAGGGTTTTCAAGAGGTTCAAGGAGATGGGGTGTGCTTACGTATCTGCAAGAGGGACTGGAACATTCTGTTAAGTGCTCAACATTTCACCTCCTCGGTGAGGCTGGCCCTGGCCACCCTGGTCACCTGCCCACTGCCTACGGCCCACCCAGTCCTGCCAAGCACTTATCCTACTGAACTTTTTCTTCCCTTCCTTTTTGTCATAGCATCTATGCATTTTGGATGTAGTATACTAGTGTTCCCACCTTTTGCACTATGACCATTTGGAGCCAGATCATTCTTTGCTATGGGGGATGTCCTGTGCATTGTAGGGTTTTGAGCAGAATCCCCGATCTCTACCCACCAGATGCCTGGAACACTAACACACACACACACACACACACACACACACACACACCCCACACCCATGCTGTGACAACCAAAAGTGTCTCCAGTCATTGCCAAATGTCCCCTGGTGGGCATAATTGCCCCCAGCTGAGAACTACTGCACCATACAACTTGTTTTCAATGATGTTTATGACACTGACTATGGAGTCTGTCTCTGCGCACTCCTTCTAGAATATTAGCTCCATGACGGGTGGAATTTCCTTATTTGTTCTCTGATGTGGTCCCAGTTCCAAGATCAAAGCCTGAGATATAGCACGGGTTCAATGTTTGTTGAAAGAATGCATGAACATTGAGCGTTGTTGTTTTTTCCTTTTCTTTTCTTTTTTTGTTTTGAGACAGAATCTCGCTCTGTCCCAGGCTGGAGTAAAGTGGAGCGATCTCGGCTCACTGCAATGTCTGCCTCCCGGGTTCAAGCAATTCTTCTGCCCCAGCCTCCCGAGTAGCCAGGACTACAGGTGCGAGCCACCACACCCAGCTAATTTTTGTATTTTTGGTACAGACGGTGTTTCACTATGGTGGCCAGGATGGTCTTGATCTCCTGACTTCGTGATCCGCCCACCTCCATCTCCCAAAGTGCTGGGATTATAGGTGTGAGTTGCCGCACCCAGCCCGGTGAGCATTTTTGATGTTCCTGAGGTGGTGCTAGGTAGACATGTAGAACCTCATTTTCTTTCTCTTTTCTATTTTTTCTCTTTTATTTCTCTTCCTCCTATTTTTTGTAGAGATGAGGGTCTTGCTATGTTGCCCACGCTGGTCTAGAACTCCTGAGCTCAGGGATCCTTCCACACCAGCCTCCCAAAGCACAGGGGTTACAGGCATGAGCCACCAAGATTGTCTCAATTTCTTTATCGAAGCATCTTCATGAACGAGGCCCATCACTATCTCCCTTACCCAAAGGTGAAAACTAAGGCTTCTAGAAGCAACCTGCTATACCAACCCAATGGTAGAGGCCTGCAGCTCAGCCAACCACCTCCCTAACAAACCTGTTTGTTTTCTTCTGGTCCAGAGGGACTGGATCAAGGTCAGGTTCAGACCCAGACTCTGCAGGCACCTGCAGGGGAGTCAAGGAGGAAGCTGAACTGGCCTGGGGGGCTACACCTGAGGGGGGTTTCTCGGGAGCCAGCAGGGGTTACAATTGGGTAGGGTTTAGTGTGTTCCTTTCAGGCAGAAACTCAGCCCCAGGCCCATAAGAGAGGGGTCCAAGCTCCAAAGAGAAGCCTCCAGGACCAGCCTGGGGATGGAGCTGCAGCCACCAGGACCTGGAACCGCCTGAAATCGCCCTGCCTGGCCCCCAGCCCAGCCCAGCCCAGCCCAGAAAGGACCCAATCCTGTGATTGGTCCATGGGTTCCCGTTGCAGGGAACTGAGGTCAAGAAAATGGGAAGGAAGGAAGGGAGTGGGTAGGTCCAGTGAGGACGAGGGTGAAATTTGTATCTCTGCCTGGGGCTGGGTGTTTACACCGCCATGGACACGACCAGGTACAGCAAGTGGGGCGGCAGCTCCGAGGAGGTCCCTGGAGGTATGAGGAACGGACCGCCTTATTCCTGCCCCAGTGTCTAGGGTTTAATGGGGGAGGGGAGGGAAGAGCCAAGACGGGCCAGGGTCGTGGGTGCAGAATAGACACCACAGGACACAGAGCCAGTTGGACCAGGGCCCAATTCCAATTCTGCCACTTAGAAGCTGTGTGACCACAGGCAAGTTACTTAACGTCTTTGAATCTCAGTTTCCCGGAAGAAACCCGGGCCTCCAGGGCTCAGTCCTGGGGGACCCAGTATTCCATCCTTCTTCTCCCAGGGCACTGGAGACGCTGGAGCCGGAGACCCCTCTTCCTGGCCCTGGCTGTCCTCGTCGCCATAGTCCTGTGGGCTGTGATTCTGAGCATCCTATTGTCCAAGGGTGAGTGACCTTCATTGGGGAGGGGTTGCGTCTGGCCCCCCTGGAGACACAAACCCCCCCACTCCATGGCTCCCTGCCCGAGTCTGAGTGTGAGCAGAGTGTGTGTACATCTTCGGACCGTGTGCACTCACGCGTGTGCACCTGGCGTGCATATGTGTGCAAGTCGCCGCGCGTTTAACTCCAACGGCGTGTGTGCACATCATGTGTGCTGTATGCCTGCCGCGGAGTCGGGGGACCACGCACTTCCCGGGCGAGGGGAGGATTCCCGAGTCCCTGGCCTCGCCTGCAGGAGTCTCTCTCCGCAGCCTCCACGGAGCGCGCAGCGCTGCTCGGCGGCCAGGGCCTGCTGAGGACAAACGGTGCGTGCAGAGCGGGATGCCTGGGCCCCCAGGGTGTGCAAGGTGGGAGGGCCTGAGACCCCGGAGATGGAGTCTCGGGTGCGTGGGGTCCTATGGTCCCTGAGGCTGGCCCTGGGGTGGGGAAGCGGGTTCCCCGAGTCCTTCCAAGTGACCCGGCGGGCGTGCGTTTTGGGGCCGGGATCGTTCCAGCCTCCAAGCAGACGACGATGCTGAGTGCCCTGAAAGAGGAGGTCGGAGCCTGCCACAGCTGCTGTGAGGGGGCGCGGCCGAGGCTGTGGGCGCAGAGGCGGAGGCTTGTGACCAGGAAGGGAGGGGGACCGGGGACGGGGCCTGCGGCGGGTGGGGCGGGGCGGGGCGGGGTGGTCTCCAAAGTCCCGCCACATCCTCGCCGCCCCGGTTCCTCTCTCCACTCGGCTCCCAGGCTCGGGGACACAGGCAAAGCTGCAGACCACGCGCGCGGAGCTTGGGGAGGCTCAGGCGAAGCTGATGGAGCAGGAGAGCGCCCTGCGGGAACTGCGTGAGCGCGGTGAGGGCCGGACGCAATCCCAGCCCTGAGCCCTGGCCGCGCACAGCGACCGTCCCACCCTGACCCTGTCCTCAGTGCCGATCCCCGACCCCGATTATGCACCCCGTCCTGACCCTGACGCTGGACTCTGACCTTGACCGCGACTCCTGGTGCTGGGCCCTGCCCAGTTGTAACCGCCCTTGACCCTGTGCCATCCTGGACGCTGGCACCGAGGGTACCATGACCACGGACGGGGTTCTGATCGTTAGCTAGTCATGACCCTGCTTCTGGTCCTGACCCCAGCCGTAATCCCCGCTCCCTTCACCCCGTAGTGACCCAGGGCTTGGCCGAAGCCGGCAGGGACCGCGAGAAAGTCCGCACTGAGCTGTTCCGGGCGCTGGAGGCCGTGAGGTTCCAGAACAGTGAGCGAGATCGGAGTGGTGCGGGCGGGGCGGGCTGTGGGGTGTAAGTGGACCCTGCCCCTCTTGGACCTTGGCATGGTTCTGGGTCTCCACCCCTGAGCCCGCGTAACAGAACCCCTACACCCCTGCATCCTCCCGGTGTGCTCCTCCTGGATGCCCTCGACCTCTGTGACCCTCGCCACCTCGCAGGCTCCTGCGAGCCGTGCCCCCAGTCGTGGCTGCCCTTCGAGGGGTCCTGCTACTTTTTCTCTGTGCCAAAGACCACCTGGGCCGCGGCGCAGAGTCACTGCGCGGATGCCAGCGCGCACCTGGTGACCGTTGGGGACCTGGATGAGCAGGTGCGAAGGGGGAGGGGGCGTGGCCAGGTGGCGGGGTGGGGCGGGGCGGACTCCGCAGGCTCAGATGTCCCCTCCTTTCTAGGGCTTCCTGACTCGGAACACGCGTGGCCGTGGTTACTGGCTGGGCCTGAGGGCTGTGCGCCAGCTGGGCAAGGTTCAGGGCTACCAGTGGGTAGACGGAGTCTCACCCACCTTCAGGTGAGGGAAGGGCCCCTGGTAAGACCTGGGGAGGGAGACAGGTTAGACTCTAGAGGACATGTTTTGGCCAGATCTCAGGGACCCCTTGGCTGGGGCTCCATGCTTAGGGATGAGCAGGCTGGATTCCAGGAATGTCCTCAGGTTAAATTCTGGGCGTTAAAAAGTTATCGGCCAAGCGCGGTGGCTCACGCCTGTAATCCCAGCACTGTGGGAGGCTCAGGCGGGTGGATAACCTGAGGTCAGGAGTTTGAGACCAGCCTGACCAACATGGTGAACCCCGTCTCTACTAAAAATACAAAAAGCAGCCGGGTGTGGTGATGCACGCCAGTAATCCCAGCTACTCGGGAGGCTGAGGCAGAAGAATCGCTTGAATCCGGGAGGCAGAGGTTGCAGTGAGCCGTGACTGCACTCCAGCCTGGGTGACAGAGCGAGGCACCATCTCAAGAAAGAAGTTATATCCCAGGTGTATACTCAGTTTAGACAGCTAGGGTGTCTAGAGTAGACCCAAGCAATAAACAGGCTAGAGCCTGGAGAGGAAGGGGGAACCCCGCGTTCATCCTCATTCTAGTTTCCCAGAAACACCCCACTCAACCACTGCAGCAACTGGAATCGGGGAGAGCCCAATGACTCTCGAGGGCGCGAGGACTGTGTCATGATGCTGCGCACGGGGCTGTGGAACGACGCACCGTGTGACAGTGAGAAGGACGGCTGGATCTGTGAGAAAAGGCGCAGCTGCTGACTCCGCCCAGTGACCCGGAGCCACGCCCATTGCAGCACGTGGTATCCCGGGGGCTGCTCACCTCGCTGGCTCCTGGAGCTGATTGCCAAAGAGCTTTTTCCTTCCTCATTTGCCAGTACTGAGTCCAAGAACCACTCAGCCCAACAAAGCCCTGTCCAGTTCAGTGCCTGGGCTCTGGGACCTCCGTGACAACCTCATCCGAACTCCACATACGCAGACCCAACCTAACCTCCATTACCTCCAAAATCCCTGCTCCTGGGTCCCGGTGATGTGACTCCACTTCTCTCCCTAGCCAACGTTAGGTGACTGAGGGCTGGAGCTGTCCGGTTTTCTCGCATTTTCCACCAAACTGGGAGCTGTTTCTGCAGCCTGAGGAAGCATCAATAAATATTTGAGAAATTAATCCAGGTTCCTGGCTCTGGTGAGATCTTCTATGCTTTATCCCAGGTGTCCTAGTTTAATCCCTGCAAGGGACCCCTGACCTCTCTCAGTGACCTCTTGGCCTTTGGTGGGTAACTTGCACTGGGTCAGGAGGGCTTGAAGACAGGGGCAGTTTCCCATGCTACACCACTACTTCCTCAGTCCCTGGCATGGGCTTGGCTCAGAGGTGCTGGGGACACAGAAATGGGTCAGAGGCAGTTATTTCCCCTGGGACCTCTGTATTCTGGTCTAGCTGGGCACAGGAACCAAGTGACCAGTAATTTAATGGAGGAAAGCATGGCAAGGACACCTGATACATTAAGAGGGACCGCCTTTGTCCCTGGGGAGATGGACTGTCCTGAGATACTGCAGTGGCGGCACCCGTCCTTGAGAAGACTGTCACCCCGTCGTGGAGATTATGGGCATCATGAGACAAGCCCTTGAGGCAGGTGGGGGACAGGGTGCCCTGACGGAATGAGCAGGTCCCTTCTGCTCCATGCATCTAGGGTCTGTGATCATTGGATGGGTAGGTCAGGAAATACATTCCAGAGAAGGCGGTGGATTTTCCAAGGAATAATGGAATTTGAGTAGATGAAGCTGAGAAGGTGGACTTTGGAGGCAGAAGGCCCAGGAAGAGAAAGACTGAGAGAGTGGGCGTAGTGGTGCATGCTTGTAGTCCCAGCTACTCAGGAGGCGGAGGTGGGAGAATCACTTAAGGATAGGAGTTTGGGAATGCAGTGAGCAATCATCATGCCTGTTTGTAGAGTCACTGTACTCCATTCTGGGCAATGCAATGAGACCATGTCTCAAAAAAAAAAAAAAAAAAAAAAAAAAAAAAAAAAAAGAAAAAGAAAAAAAAGCAAGACTCAGAGTTTGGAAGGTATACAGATGGCTGAATTCACACAGGGGTGTATGTTACATAGAACCTGACTTTCTCAACCAGGGACTTTTGATCTGAATTCACCCTACATTCCCAGTTACTTGCTTCCATCAGGGAGAGTTAGGGGGTCTCCAAGAATTTCCTATGAAGACAGGTTCAACAGAGGAGTGACAGGTTGGCAGCTTTTAGTTCTGTGCAGAACTGAGTCTAGAACTACACACTTCTGGGAGCCCCCAGGGCTGCCAGACTGTATAACAGCATCAGCTGAGCTGGAAATAGAAGGAACACCATCACATCCCCCCCCAGGTGGAAATCTTCATCGCTGTAACCTGTCAACTCCCAGTCCTCTGATCCTTCTACACCTGCAGTCTAGAGCAGGCACTGGGCAAGTCCAGGAGCTCATTGACTTACCTATTGGACTGACTGCAAGGCTGCTGGACTTCCAGATACAGTTGGCTTGGAGGAGGGTTTGAGTTTCCCACCACTACTGTAATGGGTTTCACTGACCGAAAATCAAGGTCTAGGGATGTATTAGTCCGTTTTCATGCTTCTAACAAAGACATACTTGAGACTGGGTAAGTTATAAAGGAAAGAGGTTTAATGGACTCACAGTTCCACATGGCTGGGGAGGCCTCACAATCATGGCGGAAAGCAAAGGAAGAGCAAAGGCACGTCTTACATGGCTGCAGGTAAGAGAACTTGTGCAGGGGAACTCACATTTGTAAAACCATCAGATCTCAAGAGACTTATACACTACCACAAGAACAGTATAGGGGAAACCACCCACATAATTCAATTATCTCCACCTGGCCCCACCCTTGAGACATGGGGACTATTACAATTCAAGGTGAGATTTGGGTAGGCACACAGCCAAACCTATCAAAGGGAAAATGTTTCTTTGCCTTTTCCAGCTTCTAGAGCTGTTACCCTCGTGTTTCTTGCTCCTGGACTCTTCTTCCGTCTTCAAAGGCAGTAGCATTTAGCTTCAGCCATGGCAATGACTTCTGTGTCAAATCTCTCTCTGCATCCCCCTCACAATCACCTTTTTTTTTTTTTGGAGACATGGTCTTGCTCTGTCACTTAGGCTGGAGTGCAGTGGCACAATCATAGCTCACTGCAGCCTAGACCTCCTGGGTTCAGGAAATCCTCCCACCTAGCCTCCCCAGTAGTTAGGACTATAGGCACGCACCACCACACCCAGCTAATTTGTCAGATTTTTTTGTAGAGATGGGATCTCACTATGCTGCCCAGGCTGGCCTGCCTCCTTCATATATGAACCCTTGAGATTGCATTTAGGGCCTGCCCTGATAATCCAGGATGATATCCTGTGGTTCTTTTTTTTTTTTTTTTTTTTTTTTTTTTTTTTTTTTTTTTTTTTTTTTTTTTTTTTTTTTTTTTTTTTTTTTTTTTTTTAGGCAGGATCTCACTTTGTCACCTGGGCTGGAGTGCAGTGCCATGAACCATGGACACAGCTCACAGCAGCCTTGACCTTCCAGGTTCAAGAAATCCTCTGAGCTTAAGCAATCCTCCCGCCTCAGCCTCCCAAGTAGCTGGGACTACAGGCATGTGCCACCATGGCTGGCTAATTTTTTTACTTTTTGTAGAGAAGTGGTCTCACTATGCTGGTCTCAAACTCCTGAGCTCAAGTAATCTGCCTACCTTGGCCTCCTGAAGTGCTGGGATTACAGGCATGAGCCACTGCTCCCAGCATCCTATAATTCTAAATGCAATTCTGCCACTATTCACCCAGATAGTGCAGACTCCACCCACAGGTTAAGGACCCAGTCCCCATCAAGACTGTTCTCATTTCAGATACCAGCTACAAGTTTGGGGACCCCAGCCACCCACAGTTCTGATCAACTGCTTACAAATTCTCCTGATCCCTTCAGGTTCCATAATTTGCTAGAATGACTCCCAGAACTTAGGAAAATGCTATACTTAGGATTTCAGTTTTCTTAAAAGGATACAGATCAGGACCTGTCAAATGAGGAGGTTCATAGGGCGAGGTCTGGGAAGGTCCCAAATCCCAACACAGAGCTCCTGTGTCCTTGCCCATAACATCAGTACATATCAATCTCTATGCCTTCCCCCATCCTAGGTTGAGTGTTCACCAGCTAGGAAGCTCCACTGATCTTGGTGTCCTGAATTTTTATTGGAGTTTCAGTATGTAGGCAGGATTGATCCAATTACCGCCTCGGTGTTTCAGTTTTTTGTTTTTTGTTTTTGTGAGACCAGGTCTTTCTCTGTTGCTCAGGCCAGAGTGCAGTAGCATGATCATAGCTCACTGCAGCCTCTACCTCCTGGGCTCAAGTGATCCCGGCACCCCTCAGCCTCTCAAGTAGCTGGAACTACAGGCACATGCCACCCTGCCCAGCTATTTTTTGTATTTTTTCGTAGAGACAGGGTTTCACCTAACTTCTCTTCTAGAAGTTAGATAAGGCAAGGAAATGAATTCTCTCTTAGAGCTCGCAGAAGGATGCAACCCTGCCAACATCTTAATATTAGTCCAATAGGATCAATGTCAGACTTCTGATCTTCAGAATATCAAGATAAGTTTGCATTGTCTGAAGTCACTAAATTTGAGATAATTTGTAACTACAGCAATAGCTGACTAATACAAAAGCTTAGCTGGAGCTCACCCATATCACAACAGTAACCACTGTGACTATTTCATAGCACGCCTTAATAGGTCTGTAAGTACCTGGACACCCCCCATGGAAGTAACTCAACTCAATGAAAACCACTGGAAACACCTGCAATAAACCTTTAACACCCGTAACATGTCAGCTACCACCTAAGATATAAGTGTAACCCTCTCCTTGTCTAAAAATACACACAGGCAACTTATCTAGAGGACCCATATGTCTCTCTTTGTCTCAATCGGTCCTAGTTTTCACTTGACCCATGTATAAATATTCTTCTTGTCTTTTTTTTTTTTGAGATGGGGTCTCACTTTGTCACCCAGGCTGGAGTGCAGTGGCATGACCTCGCCTCACTGCAACCTCTGCCTCCTGGATTTAAGCCATTCTCCTGCCTTAACCCCCCAAGTAGCTGGGACTAAAGGCAATGCACCACTATACCCGGCTAAGTTTTATATTTTTAGTAGAGACAGGGTTTCACCATGTTGGCCAGGCTGGTCTCGAACTCCTAACCTCAAGTGATCTGCCTGTCTTGGCCTCCCAAAGATTACAGACATGAGCCACTATGCCCGGTCTGTTCTTTTTAACAAAACAAAACAAGGTCTCCTTCTGTTGTCCAGGTTGGAGTGCAGTGGTGCAATCACATTCACTGCAGGCTCCAACTCCTGGTCTTGAGCCATCCTCCCACCTCAGCCTCCTGAGCAGCTGGGACAAGTGAATGCCACCATGCCCTGCTAATTTTTAAAATTTTTTTGTAGAGACAAGGTCTTGCTATGTTGTTGCCTAGGCTCAAACTCCTGGCCTCAAGCTATTCTCTGGCCTCAGCCTCCCAACGTGCAGGGATTATAGGCATGAGCCATCCCAGCCAGCCAACTTCAGCAGTTCTAAACCCAGGTGGAGGGACTTATTTTAGAGCCGACCAGGAGAGGTGGAAGTGAAGCCGGAAGTTGGAGCAGATAAGGGACAAAGGCAGGAAGTAGGAGGTGCTAACGCATGCGTGCTCGACAGCCTATCTGTTCATGGGATGAGATGGGGGGTTGGGGAGCAGGGTCCGAAGGGTCTCTGATATTTGGAATTATAGTGCCAGGAAAGCAAACAAGAGCCCCTGAAAAGAAACAAGCAGAAGGTTGGTGATTGCACAACAAGGGGTCTCTAGAGATGTCGTCAGACAGATGGAGAAGGCTGGCGGGAGAGGAAGTGCAGGTGGGTAGCTGGGGGTGGGAGGGCGAGTCTCCAGCAAACAAGCAGCACTTCCGTTCACGCAATCCTTTTCTCACCCACAAATATTTCTTGAGCACTTATTTGATGCCAGGACCTGAAGTTCTAACAAAATACAAGGTCAGGGTCGCTTGACACAGAAAGTGGAAAAACCTAAGGCTGAAGGAAAGCAGCCTTCCACCAGCACGCGTGGACTGGATGAGCCTGTTTCTGTGAAGTTCTAGGGTGGGAAAAAGAGTGCAAACGGTGGTTGCCCAGGAGCAGAGATAGGGAGTGCCTGGGAAGGGCCGCGAAGGACTTTCTGGGTGATGTTCTGCATGTGGGTGGGCGTTTGGATGACACAGACCAACGCATTCGTCAGCGCTTGAAGGAGACACACTTGAGATTCCTGTGTTTCATTTTAAGCAACTATTTACTTAATTTATTTTTTATCCACAAATAAAAATATGTGTATGTATAGTATACATATAATTGCGTATACATAGATATAGTGTAAATTGTATACACTATATATATTCACACAATATACATAAATGTATGTATTTATATATTACATTATACATTATTTATATAATACATGCAATAATATATAATATGTGATATATTTTAATATATAATTATATGTAATGATATAGCATATATATTAATCTTATTAATTACATATTTATATATTATATAATTATATTTTAATTATACAAAGCATAATATAATTATATACATATTAATAACACATGTAATATAATACATAATATATACATAATATATTATGTATATTATTGTTATATATAATATATATTATATATTATATATTTTAATGATACATATGAT